TGTGGGTCAAAGATGGTGAGGGCCGTGGAGATGTGGCAGTCACTGTCTAGTCACACGTCAAGACTAGTTCCGCTTGGTCTAGGGCCTGGGGCACGTGCAAGGAAGAAATGAGAGGGAAGCTCTCTTCTGCCTCTAACGCAACGAAGTCCCCAAGTCCTACGTCATGGTGCTTCAGGCTCAAACCGTCCCCTGTTCCATTCTCACCAGCCAACACAGTTTTCATATTAGCCCACCTAACAGCAGGTGACTGTGTTGTCAGTGTGAAAGAAGAATCTCCTTCATATTGTTATCTGCAGGCTTGATGAGGGAGGGAGAGAGGGGACCAGACACGTCATTGTTATTTATTCTCCTCCACTGTGCTATCCAACGGGATGAGTTCCTCAGTCATTCCTCGCTGCATTTGAGATTCTCAGTAAGCGCGCGGTGGCTACCATCTGGGAAAGTGTGGATGTAGAACATTTCCAGGGTCACAGAAAGTTCTCTTGGGCAGCTTGTTCTACTTACATGATCATATGTGATAAACGTAGTCGTAAATCAATTGTGTGCCTGTGGTTTTTATAGGACATTGGCGCTGAACATTGTTTTACTGTGGTATAAAACATGTTAACTCATACTCTTTCTTCCCTGGTAAACAAATTATCCAAGCAATTAAATTCTTGATTCTCTGTGACAGCCAGTGGTGGAAACTTCTGAGGTCAAAGAAAAGTTTTAATGAGAATCAGAATGAGTGTTCTCAAGTATTCATCAATCTTATTAAAACAACTTCGTTAGGCCATAAGCCCATCATCTAAAACACATTTAAAAAATGAAAACTATGCACATTATGCCAGTTTCTCAGAAAGCCAAAGCAAATAATATATATCCTCATTTGTTTTTAAAGATGTATTCATTTATTTGAGAGAGAGAGAGCACACGTGTATGCAAATGGGAGGAGAGGCAGAGGGAGAGAGAGAATCTCAAGCAGACTCCCTGCCGAGTGCAGAGCCCGATGCAGGGCTCGCAGGGCTCGATCCCAGGACCCTGAGATCACGACCTGAGCCGAAACCAAGAGTCAGATGCTTAACCGACTGAGCCACCCAGGTGTCCCAATATATATCCTTTTTAAAAAGGGACTTTCCTCGATATGTTGTGAATATTGTTAGTGATTTCTGCAATTCCCTGGATCAAGAAGGGAGAATAAGGAAAGAGTGGAGACTTAACTAAGGATTATGTTAACTGGACAAAGTGAGTGAGAAAAACTAAAGATAATGACAAAACACAATGCTAAGGAAACCCTAGGGGCACTTGAAATGAACATAGTGACTCACACTTTATTCTTTTTTCTTCTTTTTTTTTTTTTTTTAAGATTTTATTTATTTATTTAATTGACAGAGAGAGAGAGAGGGAGACACAGCGAGAGAGGGAACACAAGCAGGGGGAGTGGGAGAGGGAGAAGCAGGCTCCCTGCCTAGCCGGGAGCCAGACGTGGGGCTCGATCCCAGGACACTGGGATCATGACCTGAGCCGAAGGCAGATGCCCAACAATTGAGCCCCCCAGGCACCCCGTGACTCATACTTTAAAGGAACTGACCACTAGTTGTGCTTTTAACTTCTCTCCAGGGGAAAAAAAAAAAAAATGAACTTCTGAATGAAAAGCATGTACTTTACTTTGTAAAATCATGACATTATTAGACTCAGCCTCCTGGCTTATGATAAAAATAATAATAATAAATAACAAATAAAAAATTACTGATCGCTGTGGTGAAGGGAAGAACTTAATTGTCAGCAGGTGAACAATTTGGCTTGCTGTACATCAAGCCCTACACAGTGAGTTGAATCCTTCTTTCAGATTTTTTTTCCAATTTTTTTTTTTTCCTGACAAATAATTTCACAAAATGCTCCACAAAAGGAAAGTTCCTGAGGTCAGATAAAGTCCGGGACGTGCTGTGCTCCGTGCTTTCCTCACAGAGTCACCGAGCTCTGAACGTCCCGCGGTGGGAGGGCTTGCTCACCTTGACTTAATTTAGCCTCATCGAAAATGATTTGGCTAAGGAATCCCAGGTATTTTGGCTTGACACTTTTTCACAGCTTGCAAACCGTGATAGTGTTCTGTAAGATATACTTATACTTGATTAGCCTCAGAGCAGAAAAACTGAAACAACCAAATCCCTCAAAGAGCACTACAGCTTTATAGAAAAAAGTCCATATTTTTAGAATCTTGAAGGATCCTGGGATGAGTAGTGTGATGTCTGCAAGTTAATTACAAATGACTCAGCTGAAAATATGTATGTGTAGTATATGTGTATGTATGTATACACACACACAAACACAGGGAGCACACTCAAAATATGGGAAAATGTTCACAACTGGTGAACTACAGTAAAGGACATGACGTGTAATACTTTTGATCTATTTCTCTAGTTCTGAAAATGTATTCTAGAAAAAGAGGGAAGTATTATAAACCCAAACGCAAGCTGCATTGATTATGTTGGGCAGTGAAGGGGTAGCCATATGAAAGAGTTGATAAGGCAAGAAAAAGGATTTTAAGATCCAGACAGAAGTAAAATGGGAAGAAGGTTCAAGTTCTTGACTGGAGACGGTGACAGAGCTGCAGAAAAGCATTCCGGGGCATTCTTCACATCGCCTTGCCATTCCTTTAGGAGTTATGGCTCCATATCCAAAAGTCTGTACCTCAGACCCTCAGTCAGGCTAATGGGAACATTGCCCAGAAAACATGTCAGGGTGTTTATTCTTATTCCCATCCTGGGGACTCCAGACCTCAGCGCGGCACAGAGAAGTTTGCCAACTTTAAACAGTGTGATGCAGCCAAATTAGTGAGGAAGCCATCCTGAACAGGGGATCTCAGGATTGACCTGAAAGCCCCGACTTTTTGACCAAGTAATGTCAACAGCTTGAAATTTGCCGTAGCCAGGACTGGCCCGACCTTGATCTTCCTTAGCCTGACTATTAATCCCCAGCTCGCAGCTGGCTCTGGGAAGCACCGTGTAATAGATTGCGTGTCATCTTGTATGCTTCTAGGCCACAGACGTGGGCATGCAGTATTTTCTAACTTCTCAAGGACTTCGCTGAAGTTTGTAGCACACAGAAGAGTTCCCTAGTCTTGGGATTGTGCCTGGCTGTATCATTTGCTGAAACAATATTGCAAATGTTCCTATTGCCCTAAGGGAGAGAGAAGAGTCATTTAGCTGCCTGCAGTTTCATAGATGCATCATTTACTATTGTAAAGCTGTTGCTCATATGCTCTTTCAACAATGCTAGTGTCTTTGCCACCCAGGCTCCCCTTCATAAGCTTCTCCTTTCCCCACTCCTGTTCCTCCTCCTCCTTTTTTTTTTTTATTGTTTAACCTTTACAATAGTAGGTTATAAAAATTCTGAAATTGGATTTGTTCCTATTTCTGATAAAGGTTTTTACAATAAGGGTTCCTGCCTCCTTCACGAAGCTCTTGGTACAATTTAACAAGTGAAATTGTCAATCCTTGTGGTCTTCCGATATTCTGACAGTTGTTATGGTATTTCTATAACTTTAATATATGGTTCTATCCATTGCATTTATGATATATATAAAACCTTAAGAATATTTCTTATATAATTACTATCTTTGCTAGTATCAATGTGGTATTTATAGACTCGAAGACCTTCCACATTAAGGCACTAAAGTTACAAAGAAGCATCAGAAAATCATAGTTTCTTATCACTACAAACATATGTTTATATTTTATCTTCCCTTCACATTGGAAGCTAAATATTAATTTCTGGAGAGTAATAATTATAAAATATATTGGTAATAAATGATAAAATTATAAAATTTAACATTTTTATTGTGCTTTACATCTTACAAAGTATTGTCACTTACAATATTAGTAAAGATGGCTGAACAAATAACAATTCAGTGAGCCTATAGAGTCTTTTTTTTTTTTAATTAGTAAGAAATAAATGGCGCTGCCTAAGACTTTAGGATCGCTCTTTGTTTCTTATTATTTTTGTACCAATTTTTTTTAAATAAACCATATGTATTTGGGAGGCTGAAGGTTTTCACTCATAATGGTAAAAATAGTCCTTATTATTTATAGATGATCTTAATGATAATAGTAAAATTGTAAACAAAATTCATATGCCACGACATTTTATGTAACCCCCCAACCGAACAAGAAGTAAGGTGTAAGGATTAAAACAACTAGTTAGTAATATTATACATTTAAAAAGGCAGTTATTTTATTAGTGAGCTCTTTGCAGAAATGGCAGTGGGACGCTGTTCTGAAAGGTCCCCCTAATGTGCAGAATAGCATGACTTCTGTATGCTGACATTTGAGAGAAGTAATTAGAGATGTTTAATTGTTGACTTTTTTTTTTTTTTGGTCCAGCTTTTCTTCTTGTGTTATTTGAATGGCATTTGTCTAGGTAGAGAATACTAGTGAAACACAAAGCACCGTTTCTGCACACCCCTGCCGGGTTCTGTTTAAACCCCTCAGGACTCTTGTCTTACTTTATGTGTGACTATATGTTGGAAAGACTTCACTGGAACCCAGCAAATGGTGATCATGTCAGTCATAGCACGAGAAATGGGCTGGTAGGTCCCTACAGATAAGATTTTAAGAGGAAAAATCTAGAGCCTTCAAAACTGTGTACAGAAGCATGAAATAGAATTCAGGAGCAGTGGTCTTTAAATTTCCCACAGTCTCTACGTTTCCTGTCCTTTTTAAAAACTTAAGCGGCACAGAAGGCATTTCACTTCCCCGTGTTGCATATACACTTGGCCAGCTCTTCTGGAGGCAGCAGGTCGCTTACCCTGCTGACTAAGTCACAAGGCTGTTGGCAAGTGGAAGAAAAGATTTTCACTCTTGAGCATAAAACTAGATTTTCTAAATTAAATTGTTGTATCCTCATTGGAATCTTTATCCCACTAGTGTTTCAAAATGCTCCTGGGGAGATAATTTTAAAATTTGTCTCAATTTGGATTCAACATTGATTGGCTACTTTCTCTGCTTCCCCCCCTCTCCCAGCAGGTAGAGGAACCTACAACAGCTTTTATGTTTATTGCAAAGGCCCCTGTCAAAGAGTACAGCCAGGAAAACTCCGGGTGCAGTGCAGCACCTGCCAGCAGGCAACGCTCACCTTGGCCCAGGTAAGGAGCTACGGCATTGGCAGAGGCTGCCCAGAGAAAATGAACGTCTATTTCCACAGTAGCCTTTTGGGGTTGCTAATCAGAGAAGACGCATGACTGAAAACAAAAGACATTCTGCTATGCGATTCTAATGGTTAATGGTATCTGAAGTTTCATTTAAAAATACATCACTCTGTAAAACGTTAGGTAGTACCCGGCTGTTGTCTCCCTGTGTTTAGTCCAGGTCTCCGGAAAGGAAGCATCGAGAGTGTGTTTATAACAAAAAGAGATTAGGCTTTGGTGGGGGTGTCTTTTAGAAGAGGCCAGGAAGGAGCATTCTAAGACACTGGGAATGTTTTATGTCTCAATCGGTGTGACTGTACATGGTTGGATACGTGTGTCACAATCCACTGGACTGTTCATTGAAGATGGGTGCACTCGAGGTTGCTAAATGGAAGTTGTATCTCAGTAAAGGAGTGAAAAGGAAAGTCGTGGATCGCCCACAGCATGCATGTGAAACTGAGGTCGGCAGGCTACCATCTGCTGTGGTCTCCGCTTGGGTTGTATGGTTCACAAGCTAAGAATGTTCTTGCATTTTTAAGTGGCTGGGAAATATCCAAAGAGTAATGCTGTGTGGCCCGTGAACGCTATATGAAGTTTAGATTTCCAGTCTCCATGATGACACTGTAGCATAAGGCGGCACCACCCATCTCCTTCCATGTTGTCTGTGTAGCTTCCATGCCCAGGGCGGGCTTCAGTAGTTGCCACCCGGACTGGATGCCCTGCGGAGCCTGACCTATCTACCTCTGGCCCCTACGAGAAAACATGGTGGACCCCTGATATAAACCATGCACACAGCTAAGGCCATGGCTTCCCCGTGATGGTTATGCAGGATTTGGCTAAAGTTGATGTGGGTGTGAATGTGCGTGAGTGAGGAGGGCATTTTCTGATTGGTGTGATCAAGGGTCAGGGTCAAGGGTCTTCAGGTGATGGGGGGCTGAAGTGGGGACAAGGACTCCCTTACCATACCAGGCCCCTCTAATGGCTACATTTAGATTTTTATTCCACAGGCGATGGGAAGCCAAGACAAAATGTTAAAAATAAAGGCAATCTATATTTTAGAAACTTTATTACTGCTGTAACAGTCTGTCATTGGGACAGAAGTTGGTGACAGATTGAGGGCAAAGAGGTTGATTCATAGACTCTTCATAGGGTTCATGCGGGGGGAACTACGGGCCGGTTGGGGTGGTGCCCTGTGGAAAGTGTATAACGGAGCAGCATGGAAGAACATGAAGGATACACCCAATAATGGAGAAATCAAGGATTCCTGCCTCAAGCCTGGGGAAGATGGTAGAATTACTCAAAAATGCAGCTCAGTATTTCACTATGGTATAATCTCTCTGTACACAGGCCAATCCTGTGACTGAACTTAGGGAGACAAATCCATGAGTGATGGTTTGTTCTGAACCACGGGACTGGACCTTTTTCTGGGGGTGTCACCGGGCAGTGCTTCTGTCTGGGAAATGTACTCTCTTAAAGTCCTCCAGAACTTTACTTTCCACCAGAATCTCTCCTCTGCCATAAGCCTTTTCCAACACAGTAAACAGCCTCTTCTGTTTTTCTGGTCTATGCTCCAGTCTTGATTGCCTTAGATGGTGGATGCGACCTATTTATATTAACTTCCAATTGTTCTTAGTGAAAACAGCAATAACAAATTATTATTGAGCCCCAAGCTTAATTATTTTCATGCATCATCTATTGCATTTATTTCATAACACTCTAAGTACTGTCAGTAACCTTATTTTAGATTTAGGCTTAAAGAGATTAAGGAAAGGAGCTTGTGAGAGTAGGCATTTGAACCTGACTGTGTGATCTAAACTTGTAAGCTCTGCAGTCTCCCCATTTTTTACCACACAGATATATTTACACTAAGTGTCATATGCTCAGATATCCCCAGTGATCAGACATGTGATTTAAGACTTAGGTCTTAAGTATGCAGTGGCTGGGGATGGGGTGAGGACCATGAAGAGACCAAGGCCCAGGTAAGGAGGCCGCTCCTTACCTTACTTGCTTAGCAAGTGGTGGTGGGGGTGCTTAATGTGGCCAATCTTTTATTTAATTAAGGGAAACCATACGTATAGATTTTTATGCGAAGTTTCATATGTAAAAATATGCTCCTTGGGGAAAAAAAAACAGAAGACAAAAGGAAAAAGCAACCAGCAGCATCTGTCTAAATGCACAAACTGAAATCGTACCATACAGGTTAAATGGTGCATTAACATTAGGTGTTTAGAGAGCCCGGTGTGCAGTAAGCACTTACTTCAACTTGCTGAGAGGCTGTATGGTGAAAACTTAAGAAGACAAGTCTCCAGACTCTTCATACTGCATGGGTTAGAATTCCTACATGTATGGTGATTAACATAACAATAAAAAATTAAAAAATAGAAATCTAAAAAAAAAATTTTTTTCCTAAATCATTATTTTCCTCCTGTGTCAGCTTGGGGACATCTTTTACCTGGGATAATGGTATCTACTTCTTATTTCTTGTAAAGATTAGTTAATATATGAAGAGTATTTAGAACAGAGAGGCACCTGGTGGCTCAGTCAGTTAAGTGTCTGCCTTTAGCTAAGGTCATGATCCTGGGATCTCATTCCTCATCAGCTCCCTGCTCAGTGGGGAGTCTGCTTCTCCCTCTCCTGCTGCCCTTCCCCTGCTCATGTGCTCTCATCCTCTCTGTCTCTCAAATAAGTAAATAATATCTTTAAAAAAAGGAACAGTAGCTGGAACATAAATAATTAGATATCTTAAATGCTTTCTTATTGTTACTTTTTAAATTATTTTTCATGAGTACTTGTTGGGTGTGTGCATACACACACTTAGGTACTTCACCATGAAATCAATCCAGACTTTGGCTAACTCCTTTCAAAAAAGTGAAAGCAATGTATCATGGAACACTATATCAAAAACTAATGATGTACTGTATGGTGACTAACAACATTAAAAAAAAAAAAAAGAGTGAAAGCATCTCCCCTCCCACTGTGTTCATCCAGAAGCTCTTTGTAGCCCCCTCAGCTGCTCACCTGGACCAGCAGGTCCTGGGAGCGATGATCTCATCCACCCGGTGGTCTAGGCTCTGTCCCATCTCAGAGGCCCACTCCCATGACCACCCCAGACTTTGTCAGTTCCTAGAACTGCTCTGCATTTGATTATTAAATTCAGACTTTTATTCTCCCTACATTATTTTTGCTCTGTACATTGTTAACCCCTCTCTTAATTTCTTCTAGAGCTCTCTGGCCTTTTCTTTCATCATTTCCTCCCCTGATAGGGTCTAACTTCAACTACATTATTTCAGATATCATTAAATTTCCATTCCACATTCTGTACAATTGCCCATTTGTCTATATTCCAAGTGCCGGTAAGCCTCTTGTATCAGGTAACTTGCGGGTTTAGATCCCTGGTGCATTTTCAACACTTCACCCAGTACCTTGCCCATAGTGGAGCACAAAGCTAATAATTCGAAGTGAATGGTATCTCTACTTGAACTGTTACTGATTCAGTAGATCCACATACTTTAGAAATTATACTTGGCATGTATAATCACATTGATCATAGAAGTTATGATTCTTTTGCTACCACTTATTGATTTCCTTCCTTACATTTATATTCTGGTACTTTTATATTTCTCTAATTCTTATTACAGACCTGCAAAGTAGATATTATTATCTAGTGTTTTTAATAAAGAGACTCCATGAAGTTAAGCAATGAACCCAAAGTCACACAGTTAACAAACGTTGGTGCCAGGGATGAAAAGTCTTCTGTTTCTTTAAAGCTCTGCCTTTTCTAGGGTAGATTGTTCACTCTACAAATCTGGTAATCAGTGTCCTATTACCCAACTACTTCCCTATACTTAAACTATCCTTCAAAAATACTCTTGAAAAAAAAAAAAAAAACTACTTTAAGATTTAAGGAGATTGGAAAGGATGATTTAAAGATTACTTATTGAACCCGGAATTTTACTTTATTTTATTGTATTGTATTTTGTATTTTGTATTTTTTTTAATCTGAAATTTTAGTATAGTTACTAGATGCAGCATCACTGGTAAATAAGTAGAAGAGGCCCTCCGATTTTTTATTAATGACAAACATTCACACTCAGTAGTACCTTCCAGTAACAGCTTTGTGGAGCAGCTGAGTAATCACAGGAGTCTGCAAGCCAACCCCCTACCCAGCAGTGGGTGGGGCAGGAGCTGAACTTTGCCCTGAGGAAGAATTTCCAGGTAGAGAATAGGCAACTCTTTTTAAAGATTTTTTTTATTTATCTGAGAGAGAGAGAATGAGAGAGAGAGAGCACATGAGAGGGGGGAGGGTCAGAGGGAGAAGCAGGCTCCCTGCCGAGCAGAGAGCCCGATGCGGGACTCGATCCAGGGACTCCAGGATCATGACCTGAGCCGAAAGCAGTCGCTTAACCAACTGAGCCACCCAGGCGCCCGAGAATAGGCAACTCTTAAGGTTTCATTTTCCCAAACTTTATAAAGATCTACAATTGACAGAATTTTCTCTAGTCAAGAAAAACATAAAAAGAAAGAAAGGATTTTGTGTGGCTGACAAGTTATATAGTGGAGCAGGATGTGGTTTATCTGAGCTTCCGCAAGGAGCTTTTTATACACAAAGAGAAAAATCGGAACCTACTTAGCTACGTGGGTTATTTTTTTTTTTAAACATAATTTTTTTTTTCTGGTCTGAAAAAAATCAGTCTACAATAGGCCCTTTGCCTCTCATGAGTCTTAATAGTAAACTCCTAATTATTTTTTGTTGTTGTGGGGGACTTATTCATAATGCCAACATTTCTTCAACACTATTTAAATTTTGTGTGCAAGATAATGAGCTCCTCTCATACATAATGCTCTAAGGTTTAATTGTTTACATATTTCACATTTAATATGATGCTCCTAATGAATTGGCAAGGAAGACAGGAGGCCATTTCTGTCACGGTGTTAGGATGGGGAAACTGATGTCCAAG